CCTTTCTGTCTGTGATCTCCTTCCATGATACATGGGGCTGGATTTGGAGTCCACCAGGGTAATCTCCCCATCTCAGTACTCTTAACCACACCTGCAAAGTCCTTTTTTACCATGTAAGTTAACATTCACAGGTTCCAGGAATGGGGATGTCTTTGGAGGCCATTATGCAGCCAACCGCAGGTAGGTTATGTAGGTTATAGTACCCCTAGGAGTTTCTTTTGGAGAGTGAAGGGAGCATCTAGAAAATTTGTTAAGAATTTATTTATTTATTTTTAGAGAGAGGGGAGGAATTTAAAAAGATGTTTAAATTGTCTATTAATTTAAAGATAAATTTTATTTATCTATTTATTTTAAAGAGAGGACAAGAAACATCTGTGTGAGAGACATACATAAACTGGTTGCCTCTCCCATGCTCCCAACTGGGCACCTGGCCCGTGATGCAGGCATGTGCCCTGACTAGGAATTGAACCAATGACCCTTTAGTTTGCAGGCCAGTGCTCAATCCAGTGAGCCACACCAGCCAGGGCGAGAGATAAGTTTTATAAAACTAGGACATAGTAGAGAGCACTTTGAGATTGCTAAAATATATGCCACTCTTGTCGGAAGTCGCAGCTACAACCATCTTCATAATGCTGTTGGTTTGATTGTATTCTCTGGAATAATAAAGTCTGTGTTCTAATTAAAAATTAAGAATAAAAGTTTAATTTATTTAAATTTATATAAGTGAAATACCAGTTCCTTTGGACTGTTTTAATATGATTTTTGCTTATGGGAAAGTTATTTGCTTTTCACGTTTACTAAGTATACAATCTATATCTGCTTATGCTGTTTAAAAATAAAACAGACCCTAGTTAAACTTTTTAATGAGTATTATCCTGATAACTTGCTCACCAGCTGAGAAACTGATGTAAAACAGGTCATTTTAAAAGCAAGTTATTTGAACAAAACAGAAATAGACTCATAGATACGGAGAACAAACTGATGGTTGGCAGAGGGGGGACAGTGGCAGGGCGGGTGAGGTAGGTGAAGGGGAACGAGAGGTACAAACTTCAGTTATAAAATAAATAAGTCACGGGGATGTAATGTACAGCATGGGGAACACAGTTCTTAATATTGTAATAACTTTATACGGTGACAGATGGTACTAGTCATATTGTATTGATCATTTTCTAGTGTACAAAAATATCAAATCACTGCATTGTATACCTGAAACTAATATAATATTGTATGTCAACTATAATTCAATAAAAATTAATTCAATTAGAAATAAAAGCAAGTTATTTGATATAAGAGGTTTTTCTGGAAAAAGTCTAGCCATTGTTTATATAATGAGAACAGTTTGCACGACATTGATGTTACCTGGCAGCCAAGGAGAGTGGACTGGAATGTGCATGTATGAACAATGACGACTTCACTGTACTGGTCCGTGGTAGACGCCATTGAGTATGTGCACTGTGTGGCCATTGCATGTAAAATGACTGAGCAAGTAGAGCAATGAATCTACATCAAATTCTACATTAAACTTCAACATTCCTCTGTGGAAACTATTTGGATGATTCAGAAGGCCGCAGCTATGGGCAACGGGTGATTGGCAGCTTCATCATAACAAAGCACCTGCTCATGCATCATGTCTTGCGCAGAGATTTTTTGCAAAACATACAATCACCCAAGTAACTCAGCCCTGCTACAGCCCAGATTTGGTGCCCCACAACTTCCAGCTTTTTTTAAAATTGAAATCACCTTTGAAAGGGAAGAGATTTCAAACTATCACTGAGATTCAGGAAAATACAGTAGGGCAGCTGATGGTGATTGGAACTGCGTCGTGATGTCCCAAGGTGCCTACTTTGAAGAGGACTGTGGTTTCGTTGTCCTTTGTACAGTGTCTCTTGCATCTTGTATCTTCTTCAGTAAACATCTCTACTTTTCATAGTGCATGGCTGGATACTTTCTGGACTGACCTCATTGTATTCCAATATATATTACACTGAAGTCTCCTTGCTTTAAATTCTTGGAAGGAAAGTTTTTCTTAAGAAGGAACAGAGACATTTAACTCTAACATAAAAGAGGGATGTTAAAAATGAACAGCGATGTTTCTTCCACCTCATGCCTCATAGTGACAGATCGGAGACCTTCGGAGACTTGGTTCACTTACACATTATAAATAACAAAATTGCCTTCCTGAGGGCAACTTAGATAGAAGCTAACATTTGGAGAGATTTGTGGTGTTTAAATATATATACCAAGGCTTTAGAATGTTAAATATAAGGAATCGTGCCCCTACATAACATGAACAATTGTGTTTAGAAATATTAAACAAGTAAAGTTTTATTGATTAAAATAATTACTAATTTTTGTGTACATTCTCATTAGAATATGTATATTTGAAAACAAAATAATGTCCACATTTCCCATAGGAGGGAAAAAAGTCCAGCTCTTAGTTTTGTAATTCTGCTTTTTAATTTTATGTTCTAAAATACTGTGGACCCCTGAACAACTTGGTTTTGAACTGTGTGGGTCCACTTTTACACAGACTTTTTCCCAGTAAATATACTGCAAAATTTGGGGGAGGTTTTCTTACTGCTGAGAAGCAGTTGTATCATTGCCCTATGCTACACGAAGCGATCATGTAGCTGCTTCTTAGTTATCGATGCGTGAATTGTTATATGTGTAAGTACATGTGAATTTCTTTTTCACATTATCTTCTCATTTCGTTGTCTAGTGTTAGTGATGCATGTAACATCTACAGTGTTTTTTATCATAAAAGACATAAGTGATGTAGGGACTGACAAACCATCTCATAAACCGATGACACGAATTTACATGTTAATAAATTCAGTACAGTTCTGTCAATGTATTCTTATACTTGTCTTAATATTTTTCTCTAGCTTTATTGTAAGAATACAGTATATAAAACATATACAAAAAACTGACTTTGTGTTATCAGTAAGAATTCTGGTCAACAGTAGGCTGTTAACAGTTAAGTTTTGGGGGAGTTAAAAGTTACCCACAGATTTTTGACTGCCTGGAGGTTGGCGCCCCTAACCCCTGTGTTGTTCAGGGACTAACTGTAAACTTAAAATCTACCTCTGTAAGATTATTATTGAAGTCTTTTCTAAGTTAAAGCATAAAGTTTCCTACCAAAAATTAAATGATATATCCCAGATTCAAACCTAAATTGTTCTTGTCCATTGTGTTTAGTAGTATGTGAATAGCAATATAATCTAAAGATTTTCTAAATTCTTTGATCAACTCTTATAATAAAGTTAAAATTCTAAGTGTATATTTGGCAAGAAAAGTTAAATTTTTGTTCTTGAGTATTAACACTTTTCTCCAGCATTTCACTGATTTTTTTTTAATTGAATTTCTTGGGGTGACATTGGTTACTAAAACTATATAGGTTTCAGGTGTACAGTTCTATAATTCATCACCACATTGTGTGTTCACCACCCCAAGTCCAGCCTCCTTCCATCACCGTTTACCCCTCCTTTGCCCTCTTCTACCTTCCCCAGTCCCTTTCTCCTTGTGATCACCACACTGTTGTGTCTGTGAGGCTTGTTTTTTTTTCCTTAATCCCATCACCTTTTTCACCCAGTCCCTCAAACCCCTCCCCTCTGGGAGCTGTCAGTCTGTTCTGTACCTGAGTCAGTTTCTATTTTGTGTGTTAGTTTATTTTGTTCATTAGATTCCATGTTTGAGTGAAATCGTATGTTGTCTCTCTCTGATTGGGCTACTTCACTTAGCATAATGTTCTCCAGGTCCATCCAAGCTGTTGCAGGAAGGGGTGAGATTTCCTTCTTTTTTATAGCCGAGTAGTATTCCATTGTGTAAATTACCACAGCTTTTTTATGTGCTCATCTACCAATGGACACTTGGGCTGATTTCAAATCTTGGCTGTTGTAAATAACTGCAGTGAACATAGGGGCACATATATTCCTTGAATTAGTATTTCTGGTTTCTTCAGCTGTATTCCCAGAAGTGGAATGGCTGGGTCATGAGGCAGCTCCATTTTTAATTTTTTGACATACCTCCATAGTGCTTTCCACAGTGCCTGCACCAGTCTGCAGTCCCACCATACACAGTTTTAAAAATGCTTATTTTTACATATCTGGAACTCTTTGTTTATCAGAGTATAGAGTTTTTGTTACTATACTGGCAGTTTAAAGAAAACCCATGTATATCTTTGAGAGGATGTATCGAAACTTGTTTAAAGAAATGACGAGCCATACCTTGGCCTCAATAGGAGATGTGTGTTGCTATACCGAGACTTAGTATCTGCTCATCTGCTTTCTTTTAGTTTAAGAACTATAAGATTAAGCACTTTCCAAATAATGGGATTATACAGATATTTTTACTTTTCTTTTATCAGTGATGTCAATAGTTAGAACATGAAGCTATATGGGCTGAGGAAGAATTTAGTTTTTTTAATGAGCCACTTAATTTTCATCTTTGCTGTGACCAGACTTCTTGAACATATGAAATGAAAATGTAATTTTATACTCATATGATGAAAAAAGAAAATGGATGGCCCACTAGTTATGGGATAAAGGTGCATCTTCTATCATGAACACATTGTCATTATCCTAGATAGCTGGAAAAGTGTTTCTGAAAGTGTGATACAACTTTCATACTTTATCTAGCTTTATTTACATATGCAGCTTTCAGAAACTTGCCAGCAAAAGCGGACATTTAAACAGTGTAGTCAGCAAGAACTGTGCGGTGGGAAGTGGCGTTGTTCTCGGGCAGTTGTTCCATTTGGACTGATGGGCCTGAGTGGTTGTTAGACGGCCTTGGCATTTGCTGCGCTCTGTGTGTTCTGAGAGGCCCCTCCCCTTACGGACTGTAAGTCTTCACAAGTTTCCCCCAAACTAGTTACTTCTGCTTTCAACTTACTGTGACCATCCAGTAGCTGTCAGATGGTAGCGGAATAACTGTCTTCCCTTTAAGACTTGTCACACAAATGTTTTTGTGTAAAAATAAAAAATTACAATTTCTCTTGACAGCTGTGACATCTTATGAAGATCTTGGACTCTTTGCTTTTGGATTACCTGGGAAGGTAATTTTTTTTCTCCTTGCTATGTCCAAAATCCAGAGAGGTGTATTTTCCTTCTGCTTCCAGAGAAAAGAGACAAACATACAAGAGAAAGAAAGAGAGGAATAAAAGGAAACTAAACTAAAGGCGGAGTGCTGGGAGCAGAAAGAAGAGAAGAAATCTATGTGCCCTTCCTGAAGGTGCATCAATACATTTAACTCAACACGTAACTCCTTTAGTATTTTTCACCCTAATGAAGGAGAGTGATAATTGGAATAATTTTAAATTCAGAGAAAGTGTTATTTACAGAAGAACACTCTCCAGTTAACGTAACATGTTCTGTAACGTGACTTTAAGTGTCATCACTGTGATCGGACATTATCATTTCCTGAATTCCTTGTGTGGCAGCAGCGTCTAAAAGAGGATCACGGATTGTTGAGAGTCCTCTTTGCTCAAACTCTCGAATAGTTGCATTAGCATCTTAATGTGTGTACCTGGTAGTTAGTAGGTGAGTGCACAGTGAGAGGCTCCTCTAAATAAGGAGTTGTTTGCTGTGTATTTCCTCTTCATTTCCACAATTGGGTTGAAATTTTCCTACTTCTTTTTTTCCAGATATGCAGTTTGATAGGATAACATTGTTCTGAGAATTAAAGGATATTTTTGAAATGTTCTTTGAAGTTTTTAAGGGAGATTTTTTAAAAATTGGCTATAAATTGATTTATTTACTCACCAAACAAGTATTTATTGAGCAAGTACCATATTCATGCACTGTGGTAGACACTGAAGACAGATAGCTACACAGACAGAGAGACTTTCTAGATCTTAAATGCTTAATTTCAGCCCCCAAAATGGGAAAATAATCATCAGTAAGTTCATATTATTCCTTTTTGCAGTATATTAGTAGAAAAGAATTCCAATTTTCGTGTGTAACTGACAAGAGGCATCAATTGCATATGAGTGATTGTATACAAAAGTTCAAAATTGTCTTTTCACAGATAAATGAATTTTGGAACTAATTTTTATTTTATTACTTTAAAATATTTTATTTATTTATTTTTAGAGAGTGGGGAAGAGAGGAAAGCAGGGAGAAAGAGAAGGAGAGAAACATCAATTGGTTGCCTCCTACGCTCTCCACATTGGGACCAGGCCCACAAGCCAGGCTTGTGCCCTGATGAGGAATGGGACCCGTGACCCTTTGGTTCACGGGCTGGTACTCAATCTGCTAAGCCATATGAGGCAGGTCTGGGAACTAATTTCATATGGGTTGACATGCAAAGTTTTTTTCCCCGCCTCTGGAAAATGTTATAGTGGCAATTACCACATCTTCAAGACATCTCTGCAAAATTCCTTGTCATTAGTCCTCTGCATACTCCACAGCCCCCCTGATGGGACTGTCGTACAGGTGGGTCTGAAGGGCCACCTGATTCCAGTCCACGCAGGACTGAATGATCATAGACAGCTAGTCAGCTCCAGATGTACACTGGGGGTGCAGACCCACCGAGATTTGAGTTGGCCCAGAGGAAGCAGGATGTTTATTTCCTCTGAGTACATCTGATTACCAAGGAGGGATAGTGCTGTCCTCAGTATCCCAAGAATCTCATCAAAGATCACAAGCTAGCAGCCTGCAGGCTGAACTTAGTCCTCAAGCATATTTTGTTTGGTTCAAATCCTTTTTATTTTCAATTTTAACCTAAAAGATACTGTATCTTTTTGCCAACTAAGAGTTGTGGAATTTTGAAAGAATTCAATTTCTGACTTTCTTCTGACTTTCTTTTAAAAAAATCAGAGGTTCTAGCTGCATTTGATCCACCTTCTCACATGCCAGCAACTGACCAGAGCTGAGTAGCAGCTGCCTCATTTTGACAGGGAGGAGTCCGCCAGTTCTATACCGTTGTCCGCTGTAGTTACAACCTCCTACTGTCTTACACTGAGCCTACTTCGTACGAGTATTACTGAGTTGGAAACTTTGCTAAATTTTCAGGTTTGAGAATATATGGGCTCTAATGTTTTCTGCTGTGGATTATGATTCCCTGGGACAGGGATGTTGAAAGCCTTGGTGTCTGCCAAGCTGACACACTCAGAGGACTGTCATTTCCTGTTAGGTAGCACAGCACTGGCCCAGCACAGCTCAGGCCGTCTCAGTCTACCTACTAATGCCATGTGTCAAACCAGTAACAGCGGGAGAGTGAGACCAGGTAGATTCAATTTTAATTTTTTAGTACTTTGATAACCACTGACTACTAGCTTTTTAACCCTTTCTATCGGTTTAAAAATGACTGCCAAGAAAACTTTCAAAAGTATTTTTTATAGTAACCATGGAACTATTAAAAAAAGCTTTTTATGTTATGATTATATGTTTTATATATTACAAATGGCTGGCAAAATTCTTTTTTCCCAATTTCTCTTCTCTCGATTTCTGCATCTGTTTTTTCAGTAATAATTATTAGATTTTAGTAAAATACTGATCCTTTTATATTAATTCCCTTTTCATTCCCTAAATGCATTTGTTCTTTTATAGGTGGTGGTGGCAGGCACCATAATAATTCAGGATGTTGGAGGTAAGCCGTGGAAAGTGCACTGCTTATGCATACATGCTTCCTCTTTCGGTTTCTTGCCCTACCACAGGGCTGGCTGGGAACCTGAACTTCTGTAGACCTAGGTGTCATCGAAAGTCCTGTGTGTTGTCCTCCTTACTCTTTTTTGGTAGATTTTTTTTAGCAGTCCATCTGGACAATAGCTTCTAAATCAGTTCCAAGGTAAATCCCTGATTTCAGTCTTGCCATTAGGTCTGCAGCAATTGCTTCTGCAGTTGTGGAAGTGATGAGGTACTGTTTAGAAAAACTCCCCACGTGATTCTAAAATATATTTCCCCCCTACTTTTATCCTGATCACCCCACTGGTGGATGCTGCGTTGGTGGGAACGGCGTTCCAAGAGCTGTGAAGAATCAGGTGCAGACAAGCAGTGTCCTCTCATAGCAAAGAAATTTAAAATGACCAAATGGTTTAAAAAAATAAACCAGATGCAAACATTCTCACATTTATCTGTTATCTTGTTCCCATTTAAAGAATGAGCTCAATATTAAGAACCATAATGAGACAAGTGAAATAAGCCAGTCAGAGAAGGACAAGTACCATATGATTTCACTCATACGTGTAATCTAATGAACAAACTGAACTAGGAACCAAAATAGAGGCAGACTCATAGATGGAGAGCAGATGGCAGGCCTGGACGGGGGTGTATCGAGATGGAGGGGTGAGCTAAAGAGAAAAGAGGAAGAACGCATGGAAATGAACAACAGTGTGGTGACTGAGTGGGCGAGGGGGCGGGGGTAGAAGTAGAAGAAGGTATGGGGGATAAATGGTAATGGAAAATACATTAAAATAAAAAAAAGAAAAACATGCAATACCTGCCTATTTCCTCAGGGGCACTGACCTCTCTTCCCTTAGATTGTCAAATAAAATGACAATAGTCAACACAACAATAGCTGTCCAGAGTGAATTAGATAAAACTGTACTTATTTTTGTCAGCTTGGCAGTGTGTTGTGTGGTGTGCTGCAGAATTTTAGTAACTAGTTTATATGTGCCATGAGATGAGAACAGTTGAGAATCGCTGGTGTAAAGGAATCCACTCAGAGAAGGCTGACCTGCACTTTGGGTCTTAACAAGATTGCGTGGCCAGAGGGAATTTTTACTCTTCCTTCTTTCATGTAACAATTCAAAGTGACTTACAGGTTCAGCTTTTACAAAGTTCAGCTCTGAAATAGCTCTGAACTATTTCACTTCGAGTATTATTCAACTGAATTCTATGTTTAATGGGTTTTTTGGTCAAGGAAAAGGTTAACATTCCAACCATTAAATTGTAGTTGCCATTGTTTTGGAAACCCTGAACATTTATGTTTTAATCCTTTCCATTTTCATGGAAACACATGTTATTGAAGGAGAGGAATACTTTCTTGGATGCCATAAAAATAATTTCTGTCTAACAAACAGTACTTCATTCTTCTACTTCATTCAGTAAAACTGGTCTGTTCCTTTAGGAATCTACCCAATGTCAATTGATTTTAAGATCTTCTCTGGAATAATTTATTTTATTTTAGCAAATATGTACTGCTTAGCTGTATACTTGTCTCTAATACAAATGCATATTTTACTGTTTTCAATCCCTTATTACCTTTTCCATGTGACTACTAAGCACCATCACATTTTGCTTAGATGAGGTCGAGCTGTTGTTCAGCACTTTATGTAGAATGTACAACCTAGGACTTGGGACCCAAATTTCTGACCCAGGCTCAGTACTCACTGCTGTGTTCCTGGGTTCTTTACTCTGATCTCTTCCTCATTCTCTCACCTTGTGTGTAACTGTTATTGAACTTGACTCAGTTTTAGCCCTTGCTGCAACTAGATGAAAGTCATCTCTGTATATGCTTTTCTCCCATATGATGCTGTGAGCTCCTGCAGGGAGCTGTTCTCTTTGTACTCCCAGAACCTGGCACCGTACCCGAGCCTTGATAAACCTTTGTTGAACTGAATGCAGCTGAATATGATTTGTATGAGGTATTTTCAAGTACTTTTAAGTGTTCTAGTTATATCATCTATCAAGAAGAGACAAGGGGACTGCTAATTGCAGTTTTAAATATATGAAAAGCTGAACATGAAATACTACACACACACACAATTCTAATTCAAGTAATGCTTATTTAGTTTTTAGAAGAATGTTCCCATAATTTTCTTTACATTGGTTAAAAGTTTATTTATTGACAGTCCACTAAGTAATAACTGAAACATATTTCAGAGCTTTTTGTCCTGGCCAGGTATACATAAATCATTCCCTTGTTTCAAAAGAACTGAAAACTTATTCTTGTGAACAGAACACCGCCTTGGAAGCCAGATGCCTTGAATGCTCTCTACTCCAGGCTCTGCCATTGGGCTCCCATGTGTCTTGGGGAAATTGCTCCCTTACTTTCTTAGCCTCAGTCTCCTCTTTGTTAAATCGTTGGGGCAGGATGGGAGGCAGGGGCCGTGAGGTTCCTTCTTATCCCAAAATTCAGTTCTAACTTGGTCCTTTGGGAGGCATATTAATTCTTTCAGGGCATTAAAATATTTCTATTACAGGAACATGTTTTTGCAGTATCTTTTTAAAAAGAGTATATTTATTTTTTAGAGAGAGAGGAAGGGAGAGTGAAATAGAGGAAGAGAAACATCAATGTGTGGTTGCCCCTAGCACACCCCCAACTGGGGATCTGGCCCGCAACCCAGCTATGTGCCCTGACTGGGAATCAAACTGACAGCCCTTTGGTTTGCAATCTGGTGCTCAATCCACGGAGCCACACCAGCCAGGGCTATAGGTATCTTTAATAAATTAGCAACTATGCTCTAAAACAGGTGTCAAACTCATTTTCACCAGGGGCCACATCAGCCTTGCAGTTGCCTTCAAACAGCCGAATATAGAGCTCCTTGCCCCTATAGTTATATTTATACAGTCCTAAAATTACATTGGGCCCTTGATTGTTTAGAACTGAAAAATAATATAATGTATTCTATCTAGGCCAAGCATTCTACTAGTCACTTTAATTACACCTACAACAACTCTTCAAGGTAGATGATATTATCCTCATTTTACAGAGGAAGAGCTCAACGCTCAGAGGGAATAAGTAACTTGCTTACCTTTACCCCTTAATCGAGGCAGGACTCAAACCTCACTCTGCCTACTTCTAAAACCTTTATTCTTTCTGCTATAATATACTTAATGTTCGAAAAGTTGTGAAAAGATTAAATGTCAAGGATTTTAAAAACTCCTTGGGGATAGGAGCTGTGTGTTTTCATGACTTGACCCAGTCTCTGGTAGAGGAATTCAATAAATAATATTTGTTGAGTGAATGACACTGTTAAAAAGCCTGAGATTTTTCCTCAAAGAGACAATATTATATATTATTATATAAAAATGATAGGAACTGGAAAGTTCATAGAATGATTTGTAGTTTAGAATTATGTAAAAATTACGAGGTTGAAAGTATTGGTGAAAATTAGATCTTATGTAAAATAGAAAATAAGGTATTTTGAAATCAACTGTTTTCAGGTTGGGTAATTATGTCTTAGATTAATCCTTCCTGACTTTTTTTTTTTTAACATTTAAAGATTTCTCAGTTTTCTCGGGATTCTACGCACCTGATGAATCTATGAGAAAAAAAGGAGCAGAGAGGCCTTTACCAGCAAAATACTGTGAATTGCTCTTGATCAATAATTGTTACATGGATCTTTCAGTGAAGACCCAGTTTATTCCCTATATCTCCATGCTCCATGAATCTAAGCAACTTGTTCATTCACTTAGGTCCTTAGTATCTAGCACATAGTAGGCATTTAGTAAGTAATGTTTATTATAGGAAGAAAGAAAGTAATTAGGAGCCCAGGCCAGGTGGCTCAGATGGTTGGAGCATTGTCCCATATACCAAAGGGTAGTGGATTCAATTTCTGGACAGGGCACATACCTGGGTTGTGGGTTCGGTCCTTGGTCAGGTGTGTATGGGAGGCAACCAATCCATGTTTCTCTCTCATATCAATGTTTCGCTCTCTCTCTCCCCCTCTCCCTCCCTCCCTCCCTCTCTCCCCTCTTTCTAAAATCAATGAACACATCCTTGTATTAGGGTTTAAAAAATTATTGTTAAGGAAGGAATAAGGGATGGAGGGAAAGAAGGAAAAGCAAGCAACTTGACATGGTACTCATTTAGCAGGAAAAAAGAGTTAACTGGGGAGAGACCACCACAGAATATATGACTACAGATGAACCTATAGTTTTTTAAGGAAGAATTTACTGTCAGAAATTCACAGAAAATCTTGTTTCCCCAAGATTAATCAGGCACCAAGTATTTGTTACTGGGCACTAATGTGCTGGAACAAATTGATTGGAAAAAATCTGTCTTTGAATAATCTCTAAACTTTATGATAGGAAAAAATGTGACTCACTAAATGCGCTTTTATTCTAAGGCTGTGGGAACCTTTGCCTTTGGAAAATGGAGAACCACATAGTAAAATAATACTCAATACTACTGGGAAGCAGTTTCTGATCTCGTCCCAACACTAATGAACTTGGGGCCTGAAATGGGCCAGAGCCAGAGATCACCCCCCCCCCCCAGCCCATTTCCTCAGGAGCAGAGTGGCATCGGCTCAGGGTCACTGCTACTGGGACACAAGATCAGAAAAAAGGCATCTGGAAGTTTTAATATTTAATACTGTTACAGGCAAGAGAACTCTTAGAGTTTGAATTTAAGGTACTGCTAGTAAAAGGATTAAGAACTATAACAGCAAATAAGTATAGGTAGTTTTTATATACTTTGTGCTGCTTTATGAAATTCTTTTCTTAAAAACCAAGGTAAGTAGTTACGTGGTTTCAATTCATTTGAACTCCTGAGATAGACCACCCAGTAGGCTATAATATCCCTGAAAATCAAACAGTAAACTCCAAATCATCTGTAGGCAAGCTAGAGAAAGTCCTATTAACTAGGAACTGTCACATGCACTTGATAAAAGCGGACTTAGTTGATATTATTTCTGGTTCATATCA